TTCCGTTGCAGAAGGGCTGCGGACTAACCCAAAAAGTAGCGCTTGCTGTGCTTAGGGCCCGGGGGGACTTTACTCTGCCAACTGCACTTTTTCTGCGCCCGTGTCCTAAGTCCAAACTGGTAGGGAAGGCAGGCTTCCTGAAAGGCCTCGGCAAAGCGTTGACCCGCGTGAAGCAGTTGGGGCTGACTTCAGGTGGTCTTCAACAGGCGAAACACATTGGCATAGCAGCCCGGCCGGGCCTAGGATTTTTGCCAGCTGTTCTTTTCGACTCCGGTTCCTGCCCTGTCATTGCCACCACGACCCCCACTTTGTTCCCTGGATTCGAGATCTGGCGGCGCAGCACTGGTCTCCACGATCATCTGGTCCCGTCGGTGTTTTTTCTATTTGCCACTCGGTCGAGCTGGGCCCTTATGGACACCGCCGTCTGCCAGGCGCCACCGATCCGTCGCGCATAACCCCGGGATGGGAATACCCATGCCTCGCCTGGCGCTCCGCGGCGGCTGTCGTCCATTGACGACTCACCAGCGACGAGCAGCGGCGCCACTGCCAACGGCACGAGCGCTCGATTCAAAAGCATGTTTGGTTGAAGGATTGGCCCAAACCGGGAGCTGGCACGATCGGGTGTTTGAAGCCAGGCTACATATAAAATGTAACATATTGGCGAGGCTAGGTGTTGCTCCATATGATGCACGACGAAGCACAAGGCTTGCTTTGCTCAGCATTTCAAAGCCGACACCGAGCAAAGGAACTCTCTCGGACGGGTTGGAGCGTTCGCTCATAATGATGCGCCCATGGCCGAACCGGAGAAGCCGCTGTGGCAGAACGATCAAGGTCTACGGACGGGAATCTCTGAAACTGTCCTGCGAATTACAGCTTGTTGTGCGAGTTGTTGAACAGAGTGTGACAACGCGTGTTTGCTACTTGTAGCATACTTTGTGCTTTCATGCGCTTTCCCAGTGCACACAAGACGCTTCTTGTGACCAACAACCCACTTCGCCCGCACCGAAAAGAGTCGATTAGCGCGGAGGCTGCATTCGACAGGACATGAATCACAGGCAGCACACCTCAGCTTTTTGAGCTGCAGTGCGTGAACATCCACCAGTCGTGGTGGAAACTCAGGATGGAGGCGGCATTGGCGGTGGCCTTACTTGTACAAGAGCAGCCCTGCACAGCCCTGCGGAGCCCTGCGGAGCGAGCCGAGCCGTGGCAAACTCAGTGTGACGCATGCCGGGGGCACCCCCAGGTGGCATGCCTGCCCTCAGTTGACGTACGATATCTGTCAAAAGTGCAACACCTCACTGAAAGGCCGCCATGATCTCGCAATGCCTAAGCTCAGAACATTGGATCCTGGAGAACAACAGCGGTTCTGCACCATCTCTTTGGCATCACTACAAAAAATCCGCAAGCAGCGCTCCGTTGGCAGGCTCGCGTTGGCTGCTGCGGTATCCTCCTCATCGTCCTTGTCCTGCTCCAGAAACATCACGTGCGCTTCAAGTCTTCAGTTGCTTTGCAGTTCGCTGTGCCTGCCCGAATTTTGCCCATCGGCGCCAAGCGCATAGGACGCCTTGCGGACAGAGAGTATTCCCAGGTGATATCCACGCGAGAAAAACAGCGAAGTGCTTGCAGCCAGTGCATGCTGCATGAAGACTCCAAGCATCGCACCGAGTGAAGCGAAAGAAAATGCGGACACGGCTATGTACGATCCGACGTAGGCATAGCCGTAAGCGTACGCCCTGACAGAGCAACATTTCCAATTCGCAAGAAGCCGAAAACTGAGGCGCCGGCTCTTTGGCTTTGAAGGTGTGGAACATGCTGTCTGTCATCCTACCATCGCAACGATTCTCCTTCGTGCAACGCTGCTCTCCACCCGACATCTCAGGCTGATGCCCCATGTACATGGCCCAAGATATCAAAGGAAACCTGAAATGCTTCTACTGAGCTTCGCTTCACGCTGCAGCTTGTGGTGTCAGTGAGCCGAGCACATAAAACCAGCAATGGTGACGTTCATCGTCGCTTGCATGGCATTCCTCGTGGCCTTCTCCTTCTTGTCGGCGCCCTGCACACCAACGTAAAGACCGGTCTCGAATGACAATGACTGCCAATGCCACAGTTGCGCCTTCTTGTCCTTCGCTGCGTCATCTTCACTGTTGAGCATCATGGGCACACAGAGTAGGCAACCAGCTGGCGGCAGTTGAAGAGTGAACCGAAGAAGTTACGAACAACAAATGCGATGCACTGGCACGTGGCCTCCGATGAGCTGGAACAACATGCAAATCAGGCCTCGATTTCAGGCACTCTCTAGCATAACATGAGCTTCATGCGATCTCCTGTATTCCCTCAGAAGGGAAACCCTCTACTGACCAGTCGTCGCGCAGCTTTTTTACGGGAGTCTTATACAGAGGACCCAAAATTGTAAACCTGCCCTGAGTGAACCCACACAAGACACCATGTGCGCTGACTCAACACAAACTTCGTAGAGTCATATATGCCAACAAGTATGTCCAAGCCGTGGTTGGTTCATCATCCGTTCCTTGCGAACGATTCATGGCACGCCCTGTCTTCTTGCAAACCCTTCCGAAGCAAGCCATCGAAAAAGCCAGGATCAACATCCGGCCAGGCACTGATGATCGACATAGTCGTGTACTCCATGCATCTCACGTTCAGCTGCGCCTTGCTGCAAGTATGCAGCATTACGATTCGGACCACATAGTCGTCGGCTGAGTGACTGACTTTGCAAGCGTCCCAGAACACGCATCCCGCCACAGCTCCTCCAACCTTTGACTGGGACGCCGCCAAGCTTCCAGCGACAGCCTCAGCAGTGGCTCTCCAGGTGGTCGACTGTCCTCTTTAAAGCCCGACGATGATGAAAGGTAGAGCTGCTCGTGGCAGAGTCCACATTGGGGCCCGGGCCAGTAGCGGGTTGCTCTGCGCATACTCCTTGCTGCACTCAGGACAGCTGCCCATCACAATAGCTCTTATACAGGTACAAGAACAACCCATTAGATCGTCCGACCGTCCCTACAGGTACCGTGCAGCTTCTACAGTCCACGCAGGTGGCAGAAGAACGGCTCCGGGGGCCTTCATCTTCATGCAGGTGTCTCTTTTGACTTTGAACCAGGATTCCTGACGCCAGACAGAAAGCCACAGCGACAGCGACAGCCGCTGCAGCTTCCGCTCAGGCAAGGACCAGTTGCCCGTTCCGGTTTGTAAGTCCGAAGAGAGAGTACCGTCTCTGAACTCCAAACCTCCGCAGTTTCTGGCATGCTTTGGCCATGTCAGCTAAGCCGACAGTAACAACCCCCCCGGCGCGTGTCATGCATCCTGTCGCTCTTGGAACGGTGTGCACTGCAAACAACAAACAACCGATCTCACCTGGCGTGATATCCCGTGTAGATCTCGGCATATCGGTACCTGAGCATGCTTGGCCCATTGAGAACATCTGAATCTTGGCCGCATGACAGTATGAGTTGCGAGATCCACGAAGTACGATTAAAGAGAAACGGATATTCAACGGTCTAAGCACAAAACAGAAAACGTGTATCCTTCCCAGTTGTAATGTTCACGAGCGGTTTGCCGATGTGCAGGGGCGGTATGTTGTCGTGCCACTAGAGACAACCAGCGGGTTGATATGAAAGGAATGATCATCCAAACCATTGTAAAGTGAAGTGACGGTAAGATCACAATAACGCTAATGAAACCAAGTCAAACACGTCAATCGGGGTTATTTCTGTATCTATGGATGAATGAATGCATGTCTGCACGCATGTCGGTATGCACGTCTGTATGTATGTATGTATGTGTGTATGTATGTATGTATGTATGTACGTATGTACGTACGTAGGTATGTATGTATGTATGTATGTATGTATGTCAATGCAGGAAAACAACTCGCATCTTCAAGCTCTGCTGCTTCACTCGCTAACACATGCAATGTCTGTCCATTTCTGCCACCAACCACGGACACATGCACATACGAATGAGTTACATGAACCTTCTCGTACGTGTAGAGCCCACTGCAATCAATGAGCAGGTATGCTACACAAGTAAAGCAAAAGCTTTCGCAAGCGATTCAAGCACAAACCGTGGCTACATGAGGAGATAGCATATATTGATATGTGTGTGTATGTATATATATATATATGCTTGTACAGATGAACGGAAACTGACATCATGTGTGCATGTAAGTAGGCACATCCGTATGTATGTATGTATGTATGCATGGATGGATGCATGGATGGATGGATGGATGGATGGATGGATGGATGGATGCATGGATGGATGGATGGATGGATGGATGGATGTACTGATGTGTGTACGCACTACATACATGCATGCTACACACACATCGTGTAACGACATCGCCGGAGCTGGAAACCAGGGCCCCGACGGAACCTTCGGAACGAGACAAACCAGGGCAATGAGGCCAGCCAGGATGGAGATCCAAGAAAGGACTTGATCCTGAGATCCGGTGATCAAGAGAGCGACTTTCCTGGACACCAAGCCCCAGCTACCAATCATGCACTGAGACCTCAGGCTCTGACAATTACGGGTTTGGGTTCCTGTCGAATCAAAACTGCCAGCCATCGCCCAAATCTTATGCACTTGCAGCCTTACTCTTCTTGGCCATGGATGCGCAAAGGGGGAGCCTGCACATGACCCCAGTGGCACTGGGATGTAACTGTCGCTGTGCTGCCGGCTCCAATCCCACGTCCGGCCTGCGAGGCTAGAGAAGAAACTCCAGCTCAAAACCTGACTAGTAATGGACGTAGTTGGCAAACCTTGACGAGCCGACCGCGAGCGAACGTATATCGGGCCAAGCACATGGCGTCCGACGTAGACTTTGCCCAACTGCTGCAGCATCTGTGCGCGGTCTGCGAAGGACCAATTTGTCCGCGTCGCTCTGGCTGCAGGCTCTCCACAGGAAGGTTTTCTTCTGGAAGGAGCTACTAAAGCGGCTACAGTAGCGAGTGGGATCACAGAAGACCACGCAGTTCTCGCAGTCAATTTCTTCTCCAGGCCGCGGCGCATTTCCACACCCGCTGGCAAGTCACATGTCCGAGACCCTGCAGCGGCCCGAGACCGCTTTTACACTCACCCCCTGGATGCGAAGACGAAGTCTTGTCAGAGCTCTGCGTCGTTGACCTGGAGATAATCGCTGCGCACTCAGGAAAACCGCCGAATCCTTGGCTGCCGACTCCGCTGGTTGCATTCATCGCAAGCTTGGCGAACTCGTCCTCTTGGTACCAGACGCCTGGCAAAGTTGCACGGCATTCCAGAAGTCTCGGCCGATCGCAAAGCGCGACCTACTCGTGCCAACACAGCTGCCAGAACCTGATCATGCAACACCCTCCACCAGATCACCACACAAAAGGCCCGCTCTCTTACGGTTCCTTCTTGGCACCGGGCCATCGTGACAAGCTGCCATACAAGAGTCCTCCTTTTTGAGGTGCAATCTCTGCACACACACAGAAGGACCTTTTAGCACGACCTCCATGCTCCAGGATCGACGGGCGGGAGATCTGGCAAATCCTGCAAGGCTGCAGAAATCCGACCAGAGGGCCTGCCTTTGCTTATCACTCGTTGTGCCTTCAGACTCTTTGAAATCAGAAACATAACAGGTACTTCTGGATTGCAAGGCGAATCGGCACGTCGAGGTCTAGCAGTGCAGTGACGGTGAAAAGCTCTCGCGAGTCACTGCCTCCAGTGTTGATTGCACCGCAGCATTCTCAAGCTTTCCACCACGCAGTCTCCTTCCTGACCGCTTCAATTACCGCCGAGTTCTCTTACAGCCAGCCGCCGCTAAGGAACGGTTTCGGTCACAGCATGTTACTGACAGACTTCGCCGCTTCCTGTGCTGCCGTTCAGTAGGATAGAAACTGAAAAGCCTGCCTTGAATGGTAGGAAAGCCCTCTGGCCACTGCACCCTTGACGTCTTCAGCAGGCTTCGCGTGCTTTGTTCATTGCGTTTAGTTGTAGCCTGAACAATGCTGCTCGCTCCTATCCGAAAAACAACTTGCTGCATCGCACACGGGGTTCCTGAGTTTGCTCTTCAAGCGACCCGAAATCCTGTCGCAGCATTCTGAACTGAATTCTCGTGGCACCACACTGTCAAGATTTGTTAGCTGTTAACTGATACCAACAAAACAAAATTGCAGCCGAGAGCATGGGCGTGACCCCGTCTCTCGCAAAACACAACGGAGTCCGAAAACGCAACTGGGGCATTACCGAGAATCACGACATTTTTGGAAACTTGAGGAGGGATCCAAAACCAGTCTCGATTAGGAGTTGCTCCCAGCTGACTCTAGCACAAGCCGAAGTAGTCAAGGCAGGTTCAGGGTTGAACTATGGATCGCTTGACGCAGAATCAATCGTTTGGGCCGTGTTGCGACTCGAGCAAGGGCAGGCCGGCGGCTGACCAGCACTGACCAGCATAGGAGAACGGACAGCAAACGAATTGGCTCGAATTGTTTATTTCCGGTCAGTCGAAGGGCGTGGGATGTTGTGCCATTCCTGTTGCCGGTCGAACATCTTCCGAACGGAGAAGGGCCAATGCTCTTGGTCGGCGGGTCTGTGCACGTTGATGTCTCTGTTCAAAAAGCATCAGAGTAGCAGGCAATAACAGGCAGCGGGCAAGCCGACGCAGGGAGCTTAGGCAAACCGAGAGGCCATCCGGCAAAGGCAGCTCATCCTCACAGGCGAGCACCGTGTGCAACGGCACCTGTCACAGGTCCCCTCATGCAAGCAATTCGAGTACGGTCGTCTGAGCATCTTTGCTGCGTTCAGTCTGAAGCCGCTAGGATTCACAGCAGCCCTCTTTTGCCCAGTGGGTCGTCCCTCGGCACAGAAACCTACACCTTCTCCTCCTGTTTCTTAGAGGAGTCTCGTGGCTTGGCAATCCATCGCCAAGTCAGGTTGATACGTGGTCCGACAGGCGTCTCTTCCTCGGGCACACGATGCATGAAATGCTTCTGCGTCATGCCTTCCATCGTACAGATGTCACCGTCAGAAAGCGTCTGCACGACTCCGATCGACTCATCCGGTCCAGGCCAGTTGAGTTCTAACTCGAACTGACGGGACGCTCCCAAGGACAAGGAGATGATCCTGCAGTCCTTGCTTTTGCCTTGAAAAAGCTCTTCGTCGTCTGCGTGCCAACCTACCATCTGCTTACCATCTTCATAGAGGTTCAGGTTGCAGCTGTTGGGCATGTCTTTGATTTCCGTCAGGCCGCAGTGAGGCATGACACTCTGCATGAGTTCAACCATCCAAACAGGATACTCTATTGGCTGCACTTCCATTCCACCATACTCGTATGTGCAAGTATGTCCTTTGGCAACCATCCAAGCCGTTTTGCGAGGCATTGGTCCCCACCATGAGTTTGGCTGCAGCCACTTCGTACCAACCCGCACTTTGGCAAACCAGGACGCGCAAAACTGCTGGCCGAATGGATTTGCCAAGTGGGCGGCAAAGCTCCGCCTGGACTCATCCTTGAGGAAATAATTCAATGAAGCATTTGCGCTGGGCATCTCCCCCATCAGTTGGAGCCCTACTTTTGAGCGGTGCTCTTCCCAGTCTTCGCCAGCAAGCTTTGCCGGTGCAGGCTCATCATGTTGCCACGTTCTAGTTGCAGGGTCGATGCTCTTGCAGTCTGGAGCTCTTGTGGCTGCACCTTCTTCTGTCCTCTGGCGCTTGCTGGGTGGATCCTCCACTTTATCTGCCACAATAGAAACTGGCTGAATGCATCGTGTCCTCGCGGCTTTGAGTTGGGCTATTGCATCCGCCAGGGTTGTCCGAGGCTGCACTGGGCCTGTCCTCATGACAAGGCAGAGGCTAAGCTTTGAAGTCAAACAATTCTTATGGAACCCGGTGGACTCGTAAACTACCCATCCAGGATAGACTTCGAATGAACGACTGCCACAGCATAACTATGAGTCAACTTTCGAAACCTCCCTTCTCGAGGCGCCAGCTTCCAATCGCAGCTGCATTCAGAGGCTTGTGCTATGACTACACTGCTCTCCTGTCCATCCAGCTTACCGCAACAACTCACTATGTTGGATCTGTCGTTTTGCCCTACTGCTGTAGTTAAAGCCGAAAGCTCCCTTCCAATCGCAAACTATTAACGATCCCGGCGCAGGAATTGTTGTGGCAACCTTGTATTCACTGGCAAGACACAGAATTGCATCCTTGCCTTCATTCCTGCTTTTCGGCAGCAGTGTTCCAAACCTTCCACAGATCAGCAAATCTCAGTTAAGCCCTACCTTTGTGAGTCAATTGGGTCCTGGCGACGCAACTCTGCCTGGCGATCACACAAGCTCCTGGCAAATAGTGGCCTGCGACGACGGTTCATGCCAAGGAGCGAGAACGAACATGATCTGCCCGTCCGACTGCCAGTCTTCGCACTCCTGCGCACAGCTCTCATCTCGCAGAAAGGCTTTCTTCAGTAGCCAGCAGGGAAGTTTCACTGCTTTGCCGTCCTCAGGTGAGAGCCGCTCTATGCCAGCCCAATGTCGGACAGCCTGTGCTCAGGTCAGTGCTTTCTTTCATCTGAAACACTTTTCTCCTTCACGGTAAGGTGCCTTCGACACAGAAGGCTGCTGCAGGACCTTGGCACAGATTGACCACAACAGCGGAAGGATGCTCGGAAGGCAGCCTCAGCTCTGCTGTAGCAAAAGCCTCTAAGCCAGATGCTCCGTGAAAGCGCTCGTTGTCTTTCAGCGAGCTCAGGGCCTTCCCGACCTTCCAAGCCCCGAGAGGAAAAAAAGAAAAAGCTTTCAGGGGCTGCGGACCTGTACGAGGTCGTCATCAGACATCGAAGTCTTGGAGTCGGCCCGGGAGGCATTAGCTGAGCTCAATAACCAGGCTCCGGAAACGGCACGCCATGGCACACCATTCCATGCATCATCTGCTGTGCTCTACACACTTTCAGCAACTAAAGCGAGGTCTTCGATTGCATTTTATCTTCTGAGCAGCAAGTAGCGCTAGAGAGGCCTACACGCAGTCAGTCTGCCTGGGCTCCGCAAGATTCACAGAACCCAGGCAAGAGTAGTTCGCAAGCATCCTTCTCATGCATTTCCAAGGACAAGGACTCGTGTGGAGTCAGCCTGCCCGTGAAACTCGAGCAACTCTGCCACCGTTCATACTTCGATCGCAAATTAAACCATTAGGATTAAGACTGACTTTAAGATGCGCTGCGTGGCAACGCAGCATGCGCCTACTTTGACCTTTGTACATGTCATTGTTGTTTGGGCAGCAAACCGCACAAGAGAGTATTCCGATTCCTTTCTTCGGTGCGGGATTGCTCGCATCGCCCGGCCGATGCGCTCAACTGTTTAAGCGGCTTGAAGCAAACGAAGTGCCGACCATGAGTCCAACCATCTCACATAACGTCCACAAGGTAGTGCCTGCAGACAATATCAAACGGGCATTTCGAAGACTCAGCATCTGATCCCCGAGCGATATCCGCAGCCTGCGAGTTTCAATCAGCACCAACCTGTGCACAGGAACGAACGTACTCCCACATTTCATCAACTCACTCTTGGGCAGCCTGCTCTTCGATTTCCTGGATCCGCCTTTGCAAACCCAAAATCTGCTGCTGCAGGGACCTCAATCAGCTGCATATCTCCGACCAGATCCAGCTCTGCAAGACATCGAGACGGCGGAATGAAGGGCAGCTGACGTCTTCTCGCCTTTCAAGGTCGTAATCTGTTGCTGCAGACCTGCCAGAGCACATGAGATAAGATCTGGCCAGCAAAGCTTAAAGGTGTTCTTGGGACTCAGAGGTTAAGCCAAAATCACTTGCAGGCGGCACGGGCATTTTCTGCTTTCTGTTGAGCAAAGTGCCGCTTTACCTCATCCTGCGGCCAGAGGCTTGCATACATCTTCACGGGCCCGAACAATGCGACGTCCGTGAGATTCTCCTGAAGGCGCTGCACGTCCCCGACCATGGTCTTCTTCAGCTCCTGCAGCTGGCCCTGGTAGTGCTCCTGGCCACATCACCACAGGCACGAGCTGTTGTCGCTGAGCCCATGGTGTGATGCCTGGCCTCGATGCCAGCCTTGTCACCACGGAGGCTCTCGATTTCCTGACCGGGCGATGCAGCTGGGCTGCGCTTCCTGAAAAAAACTCGTCAAAGCCAGCTCCTGGCGCTGCGCAGCCAGCTCTTCATTCTGCATAGAAATGAAATCCTGCCAGCTGCGGGATGCTGCAAGTGCAGCTGCACGATGCTTGAATAAGCCGGGGGGATTGGACCTCAAGGGCCGCGAGCTTTCCCTTCAGCCCCGTCGGGGCGATGCTCCCCATGGTCGCGTCCATGGCGGGTCTGGAGCTGGAGCCTCGCAGCAGATCTGGTCCACCACAGAGTGCAGATGATCCAATCATGCTCGACTCTGCAACAATGCCAAATCATGCGCCTGGACAGAGGAGGATCGGAAGCTCCACCCACCGGTGGTCGGAAAACTCTCTGATCCCGGTAGCAGTCATGTGCGTCGCATGATCAGAGCTAACGGCGGAAACCCGCTGAGCATGGTAGAGCAAGCCTCCAGTTGACTGCAGCCTTTTTCTGCGCGACCTGTCCAGGTGCGAGGCGGCAAGCTGCAGTCCAGGATTTCTCTGGTCAGCTCGAGTCATTATCTCTTTCATGGCCAAACGTCAAGCAAGATCCCAAATCATTGGATCCTGCTCGGCATGGCAAACGGTGCAGGATTCAGACAAGATGCATGAGCGGCTGCACCGTATCGTGTGAGCAGTGAAGAGTAGGCACCGACCTCCTGTTTCTTGGAGGTGTAGCCACCGGGACTGATTGCTGACCCAGCTCGAGCCTCACATTCCTTCATCATACTGGACTGCTGATGAAAAGCTCTTGAGTTGCCGAAGCCCGAGAGTTAGCACTGGAGTGCAACTTCCGGCGCCCGGGAAACGCCCAAGCGATTCCTCATCTGCAAGTGCTTCTCGAACATACAGGTCAACGAAGGTACGTTGTGAATCATCGTACATCGATGCTCGAAGAAGCCCCATGTCATGTGTCCGAATGCTTGCAGAAAGGTACGACTGTAGGTCCATGCGGGTGAAACGCTTGCAAATATTATTCGTGGATCAGGAGCGCATCTTTCGACGAGCACCGCAACCTTCCAGCTGAAATCTCGACTCGCCAGCCCTGCGACAAGCGACCCGTCGCCTCGTGAAGCTTTCTAGTCAGCACCGACCTGTTCTCACTGTGTTCGGGGCAAAGCAAAAAGGCACGGAAAAGGTTGGGCCTGCTCTTCGATTTCTTGAATTCGCCGCTGAAGCCCGAGAATCTGCTGCTGCAAGGACCTTTCTTAGACACCACGAGCTGTGGGCTGACTGCTCAAAGGCGATGCTAAGGCTACGGCGTTTTCTCGCCCTTCAGGGTCGTGATTTGCTGTTGCAGGCCTGGCCATCATCTCAACGATGAGTGAGCCGCCAAGCGATGTTGTCAAAAGCGAGCCGAGGCCGGCGAGCATTTTCTGCCTTTTGCTGTGCAAAGTGCCTCTTCACTTCATCCTTGCGGCAGCGAGTCTTCAGGCAGAAAAGCAACTGCAAACCAGACGTCCGTGAGATTCTCCTGAAGGCGCTGCACGTCCCCGACCATGGTCTTCTTCAGCTCCTGCAGCTGGCCCTGGTAGTGCTCCTGGCCACATCACCACAGGCACGAGCTGTTGTCGCTGAGCCCATGGTGTGATGCCTGGCCTCGATGCCAGCCTTGTCACCACGGAGGCTCTCGATTTCCTGACCGGGCGATGCAGCTGGGCTGCGCTTCCTGAAAAAAACTCGTCAAAGCCAGCTCCTGGCGCTGCGCAGCCAGCTCTTCATTCTGCATAGAAATGAAATCCTGCCAGCTGCGGGATGCTGCAAGTGCAGCTGCACGATGCTTGAAAAAGCCGGGGCGATTGGACCTCAAGGGCCGCGAGCTTTCCCTTCAGCCCCGTCGGGGCGATGCTCCCCATGGTCGCGTCCATGGCGGGGAGCCCAGAGAGCTGGTCTGGAGTCTGCAGGGCTACAGTTTGCTCTGCTCGAGCCAGGCCTCAGAAGCACAGCTAGGAAAAGTGGGATGCCGTGGGGAGCCTGAAACGACGGATGACATCGCCGCGTGAACATGAACGAAGCCGCGAGCCGAGGAACTCTTGGAGTCGTGGAGTTCGCATCAAGCGACTCATCTGCTCTAGCACCGGGCGGCCCAAGGTTGCCAACAAGACTATGCTCAGTGCATTGCGAGAGATCCGTTGCAACCAGGGCTGCCAAGATCAGGAAAAGAAAAACAGTTCGTGATGCGTGGACAATCCTATCTCACCAGTTTGTCTGGTACTACAAGTGGCAGGAATTCAATGGAGCATGACAAAGCTCCGCACTTGCTTTAAAATCCTGCATGCAATACCGGCAAGAATAAGCTGAATCACGGAGCTATCCAGCGCTTGCCACAGTCATTATTCACGGTGATATGGCGAGGCCATGCACATCAGTGCCCTCGCTCATCCATCTGCCGGATCTTAATTGGAACTGCGAAAACATCCAGAATCTCTCATCGTCGTCGCTCAGCGCACCACAGCATACTGTCAGCGCCAACTCTTCCGAGTATGGGGCCGGCCCTGATTTTCAGATGCCTGGGGGGGATCTTTCGGTTTGGGCTTCTTTGCTTTGGGGTGGCAGAAATCTATTCTTATTATCATTGTTATTACTATTATTATTATTACTATTATTGCTTTGGGGGTGGTCCCGAAATCTGCTTCCGTTGTGTGCGGCAGGAGCGACGCTAAGGCGGCGGTCGAGGCGGGTGCCCTGCAGCCTGGTGAATTCCGCTCCACCCAGCAGCAAAGCAGCGGCCATTTCTCTGTGAGCGACGGAGTCCGCCGGCACACACAAAGCCTTCTAGACTCCGCTGCTATCTATCTATCTATCTATCTATCTATCTATCTATCTATATATATATATATATCTGAGCACGATCTGAAAAAACCGCTGCTGCTGCAGGTGTAGCAAAAATGGATACGAAAGAAAGCCGTGCAAGCAGTCGAACTGCAAATGTGGTGCAACGTATGGCCGGGAAACGCCCGGCCACACAACGAGCTTGAGTTCTTGGCTTGGCATTCGTAAGCTTTTGCCTAAGCAACGGCCCCTGAACTCAGCGTTGCGAAACCCTGGGCTGCAAAGACTTGGCCAACGTCTATTGGCCAGTCCGAGCCTCGGGAGCAGGAAATCAAGGAACTTGACCTCGGAGAAAGCCAGCACTTCAGACAACGCGAGCTGACTTTGTTCAGATTCCGCATTGGAAAAGACCTGTTATGTCGGGTTCTTTCTGGTTGCGTGTTCTTGCAGTGTTTTCTCCTCGGGGCTGGGCCCGGGCTTTCGGTGAATGATTGCACCGCGTTGCGCAAGCACGGCCAGCCGCGACACTGACTGTTGCAGAACTGTAGCATGTTCTGCAGCTGCAACTGCCCTAAATGACAGCCTTTCAGCGGATGATTCGGTCGGGTGCAGCCATTGCTGCAAAAACATCTGTGACTATGGAGTTGCGGAGTGCTCGCCGGCTTCGAAGGCGTCCACAGTTCTTTGTTCCCAGAAACCGTACAACAAGCATGGACTTTCTCCCTTACCTTCGCAAAGACACCTGTCAGGTTATAACAGCCCGGTAAGATTACACAAAACCGCATGGTACGCACCGTCCTGTGCAAATGTTGTTAGTGGTTTGCAGCCTGTATGGCTTGACAGACAAGAAAGCATGTAGTTGTGTCTGCGTGTGTGCATGTGTGGTATGTACGAGTGCGCATGTACGTATGTAATCATGTGTGCATAGCGATGTCAGTCTATGAATATACATGCAGGTAGTTGTGGCCTGTATGGCCTCACCTGACGATGCATGACCGTAGAGATCGCTCCAAGAGACATCGAGAACAAATGCACAACAGCCGGGTCAAAGCCTGAGTTGAGATTCCGACATCAAGTCCAGAACAGAGTCGTCAACGAGATGCCAAAGGCCTGGACCACGCTGAGTGGGTACCTGCATGTGACAACTCAACATCACAGTCTCATCATCTATAGGGATTCTCTTGTCAACCAAGACGCTTGAAATCCAAGCTAAATGTCTGGGGACCAATCTTGCCATACCTCAGCAACATAATGTGGTCCAGAGCTGGCCTGCATGTCCCATGCAAGTCCTGCTCTGAGCATGGTGCTGGCAAAGGACGTGCTCAGGCTTCTGCGACCTGAACGGCCAACACAGCAAGCAGTCCGTGTCGTTTCGCAGGCGACACAGCACGGCTGAGGGTCCGGGCAGGGCAAGTTGGAGGTTCTTAGCAGAAGAAAGGATGTGCCGGCCCTTGAAATCCAGCACAAGGCTCTCGACCTGAGGGCAAAACGGCAAGAGAGGAATCCCTGCAGCTCCTGTACTGCAAACCTCAGGGCCTAGCTTCGTCGTTCCAAGACGGCTGCTTGGTGATCAATCGCTGAGCCTGCGATGAAAACCAACATCTTGAAAGAGGCAACATCCGACCCCCATCACGAGCAGACGAGAGAGGGCCTCATAGTTTTCATCCACAGGAACGGACAGGTCCCCTCTGCCAAGAAGTGGACACCAGACCTCTCAGGTTGGGCGCGCAAAGCAGCCAGTAGACTTCAAAGGATACTTCTCTGAGCAGTGAGCAACTCTGCTGCCATCCGAATACAATCCCGGAACCTGTGGGATGAAAGACACGAGCAACGGCCTGCTGCAGCTGCCGAGGCCAGGACGTGAATCTCCATGCAATTGAAGATGCCATCACCAACAGGCTTCCTGTGGTGCCGGATCCATGCGACCTCCAACAACATCAGAGTGAAACACAGCTGAGCTTCGTCCAAAATATCGTCGGCCTGCTGCTTTCCGTAGCAAGAGCAGGTTTGGTGCTTTGGTGCAAACCTGGCATGAAGCAAAAGAGGCCACTGCAGTCTCCACTCCGCAGATCGATGTACCCTACTGGCCCAGAACGGGTCAGTGGGGCTGGCAGTTCTCGCACCTTTCCTGCATAATTCGCCATTCTGTCCTGTCCTGGCGAAGTACACAATCACTCATCAATGTTGTCATCACTTTGGTACTGAGCCCAAGTCTGCGTTCCACGTCATGGAGAAGGCTGGCCTCAGCAATTCGAGCTGGAAAGTTGCTCTCTCGCGGCTTCAGGTGGGCATGAGCTCCGCTGGGGGAAGGCATGTCCATAAACATCATCCTTTTTCAAGCATCGTAATTCAGGCAAGGATGCTTAGCTGTCGTCAGGCATGATTGGGAATGCATACATCACAAAGGCAACCGGCACGAGCGACATGACTAGCCATCGTTGATACAGCTCCGACAACCCGGACCCTTCGCGGTGCGTGTACGGCGGATGTTGTAATCACCACTGGCCGGTGCATCGGCACTCTCACAGGACTGCAACAGTTCCAGTTCGCAGCTGCGCTAACGCGCCTACACCGATGTGACCTGGGACCCCACGTGTAATTGGTGTCGCGAACGTTCGTGGTCTTCAGTCCCTAGACGCATTTGCTGCACGACGATGGAAAGCCACTTGGCCCAAGCACTTCACGAAAGAATACCTCTGTGTAGTTTCTGGTGAACGCTGCATCGGTGTATAGCCGTGCCGGTGGGCAGTGACAGCATAAAGCAAAAGGAGTGCACAGAAAATGGAAGACTGAAAGCCGGGAACAAGCAATCATCTTCGGAAGCAACCGAGCCAGGATGTCGGATCCGTCATCCAATAAACCCAAAGTCCAAGGTCTAGAGGCATCAGACTCTTCGGGCACCCTCAACAAACGCAGACTTTTGGCACCTTGGAACCCTTTCAAGCGTGCACGTCGAACAACATCTGTCCGCTGTCTGACAATTCCGTCAAGTGAGCTTGAAACTGCCCCTGAACAGCTCTACAACCCTGAGCAGAAGCGCATCAGGAGGACGTGCACGACAGAGCCGAACCCCAAGGAAGCAACGCACGAGCAAAAGCAAAGCCAAGAAGGCGAATTGTAGAAAAGCCAACAGAACACGTCCAAAACTAGCTGGAAAGAAAGGAACACCTTCTGCCTCTCGCAGAAGTGGAGCAGAAAACATTATTTGTGATCAGCGACACAGACATCGAGGCAAAATTGCCGCAGTTCGTCCCTCTGAGGAGAGATGGGAGCCATTGCATGTGCACAACATCGCGGTAAAGCTGTGAATCCGCACTTGTCTGCATTGTACAGGTTGACACCCTTCTCGCAAGGGTTGTACAAGTAGAAGGAAACCTGCCGAGCCTGTGCCAGCATCGATTCTCTCCTTTTGAAGGGAAACTGATCCTGCTCTGCAAGACGCACCTCCAGATTTGCTCGTGCATACATCAGAAAATCCTGGCATCGCACGCATGGCTCAAGGAAACGCTTGCACCAGTTAACAGTCAGTCTTCACCCCGTCATCCGAGAACAGCCGGTACTGAAGCTTGTCCTCGAGTTTGTCACACAAACAGAGCAAGTAAATCAGATCCGCATTCCCTGTCTCTGATTCCTGATGAGGTGCATGAGCGATTGGCCGACTGCGACATACTGCGATTTTCACAACACTGCTCTTCACATTCGAAGGTGCAATGCGCATGGCTCTTGCCACGAAAACTGCTGTACAGCGCTTTTCACGCCGAAGGTAAACAAGCCCATAGATGGTATCACGTGCTGCTTTTGCTGTCAGCCTCAGCACGTCCACGGGCGTGGTCCTACCTGACACGCATCAATGCTTTTAATGTCGACGGGTGCTTTGGAAGAGGTTCTCACACATTATTGCAATCAAAGATGCGCCAAAACGCGCATCAAGGCTCCTCTTTGGGAACCTGAGACGATCAAGAGGACGGGAGACCCAAAACTGGCCCTCACGATCCAGACAAGGCCTAGGCAGAAGGCGTCCAGCTTTGCAAATCGTCGATGATAATTTCGGAATCTGTTGCGAGACCTTGGCAAGGGCAGAGCTTTTGCAAACCTGTTTCGGAGAGCCTGGGCAGCTGGCGAGGGCTTGGGTCCGGATGATCCGGCTTCTCGTCTGGTTCCTCTGGCCTCGGCTCGGGGCAGCTCCACACACACTAAGTACTCTGCCGGTCCCAGGCATCGGACACTGAATGATCGGTGACGGTGAGAAGTCCGGCTTGGACTCTGTCCGACGACTGGCCTTGCAAAGGGTGGACACTGCGTCAGCAACAGCTGAAAAGCCAAGGCCCCCTTCCCGAGACGCGGGCGTACGACATGCTTCACACTCCGACCATGTCCGGAGGATCTTTCGCCTTTTTTCATGTGGCTTTGCAAAGTCTTCACCTGTGGACAGCAGTCCCAAACGCTGCGAACTCAAGACTCTGTCAAGAAAAGCAAATCTCCGTCACGTGAGGATGGTTGGTCTATGCACAGGACCTCTGACTCTGACGTTAGCATCTCCTGACGGAAAGGGAGCTCAAACTGCAGAGAAGCTGAACAGCCTTATGTACTGATGTCTGCGATAGCAAGCAGGGCATTCAGCGGTGGAGTCTCGAAGCACTTCTGAGTTCCAGGTCAAGGTCAAAACTCACAAGCCCCCGGATTCACAGCACATCACAGCGCGGCACAGCCTTGAACAGCACGATGACGAAGCTGGCCATCTTGGTTCGCGGGAACGGCTCAGACAGGCCAAGAGGTGGGGCATGTGTCTCGTTGCGAATCACTGCGTTAACCTCTACCAGGAAGTTCCACGAAACTGCACGGTTGTCGCACAAACGCTCAACTCGCTTCCAGACCAGGAGAGGAACTGCTGACACACCTGCCCTGCTGACTGCGGTCGGGCTACTGCCAACTTGGTCATCCACTCCGCCCGTCTTTCTTCCCTGAGCTGCTTGGAAGACTGCAACACAGCGTGCGAAGCCGAAACATTACTGCAAGCCACATTAAGCTGCGAGGCCGAGAGGCATCTGCAAGGCCTCGTGTCTTCTTTGCATCTCCTGTTCCTTCTCGAGTCTTCGGAGCTCGGGGCGATCAAGCCACCATTGCATCCTCTCCTCTCTCAGCGTGTCCAGCTGCTCTCGGCGCTGCTCTGCCGCCTGTCGCCGTAAGCGCTGGCGCTGTATCCCATTGCTGCGGGCCCTGTCTGTTCCCCAGGTTCGTGCACGGAGGTGGTTGAGTCGACAGAAGTCCCTGCTGCTGGCACCGCTCTTCTGCCGCAAGTGCTCCTTGGCTTCCTTCAGCCGTTCCTCGAACTTAGTCCGATGCGTCTGGTCGCTCCTTATCACGGCCAGCTTCTGCTCGACCCGTTTGCAGGCGGTTTGCAGGCTGGCCACCCCCCACTGGTTCCCGTTCTCCATGAGCCTTTTCTGAAAAACGCGAAGACGGAAACTGGCCTTTTGCTGCTCGTCAGCTTGGATGCAAAGATACAGCGCCGTTCGCACGATTCCGCTTGAGCGGTTGCCTCCAATGTCCGGATCGTGACGGTAACAGAGCTCACCGCCCTCTTCTTCGAGCTCCGAGCTTGCTGACGGCCGAGGATCAATGTCTGAGCCATAGAGGTGCACATCACCTGAGATCCGGGTTAAGTTCACCAGCACCTCCACCCTCCGACACGGCAAAGGGATCACCACAAAGAGCTTCTTTCCTGCCTCCAACGACTCCTCAAGGACGGTCCCATTCGGTCGAACTGTCAGAGGAGGGAGTGTCGCTTCCTCCGTCCCGGCCAAGGCCGCTTCGATGTCGGAGACCAGCTCAACGAACTTTGCATTGAGCTGCTTCAAAGGCTCACTCTCAAGATCTGCGCCGATCGTCTGCCTGTCCTCAGCCAGGTAGATGTGGAAGCCCATAAATTCAGTTAGCTTCTCATTCGCTTTGTGCACCAGCTCCTCAGCAAGCTGACAACGCGGACGCCGGCCACTGAGGCGCTCCAAGTCTTTGATCAGATCCGCACTTGCATTTTCCAAGCGCAGTGGCCGAGCTACCGGCTGACTTTCCAGGTTGTAACCTTCACGAGTGCTCTGCCGAGAGATGTCCCCCCGAGCAGTATTCGGCCGAGATGACCATGCTGAAGACGGCTGATGCTCGGTGGCCCGAGTTGGGGCCCGGGCGATGCTCAGTGAAGAGTACGGTCTTGGGTGCTCCTCCTTCGTGGTCTGTCTGAGCAATCCGCGCAGTGCCATGGCATGAGCAAAAGGCCACCACGGCAGAATGCGGGATGTTGGTATGCTTGCTGGGGCTCCTTGATTGGCAATGTCACTGAAAACTCGGTGCTGTGACTATGGCTGGAAGAGTGCACTTGGACTCGACTCTGACGAAGCATGGCATCATGAAGAGTCATGCAGAAGCTGTATTACACTGTGACCAGGTAGGGATGCGGAAAAAGTCAGCATGCACTAGGCAATTATGAATCAGCTCAACTAGAGGCAGACCGAGAGAATTAGTCTCTTTTGGCTGAGCAGTTCTATCCCTCCTGACATGAAAAGATCTTGGCACGTACTTAGACACATTAGACACGACTGCAGTCGGAAGAACATGATGCGGCAGGTTACAAAACGTCGAGTCCATTGGAGAGGATCCTAGCATCGGATTCTGCTGCACGACTAGATTCGTGAAGTCAGCTCGGCTATCACATCCACGACTGTGCTGTGCTGAATCAAAATGCCCCGAGCCGACTCCAGAGACACGTAAATAGCCGTCGTCTTTTTCCATTCGAAGCTCGCTAGACTTGGTACCTCAGCAGTGGACATGCCAGAGGTGGGCAAGGCACCCAAACCGTGTCTGAGGCGAGCACGGCGTGTATCTCGAAAACCCACCAGCTTGCGAGAAACCCGGCACAGCTGATGAGCCCAGGGCTTGTGCCTCACTGCCACACCGAACAATGAACACCTTCCTCTGACATGACATGAGCACCATATCATATCAACATCCGCAGGACGGTCAACCAGGTTGTAAGTCATATTGACACTTGGGAAACTTACATGTCTGCGCTGAACGACCTGATACGACCTGCATTCTGGTTCCGAGTGGCTGGGAGATCGACCGCCGCAACTCCACGGCACAATCTCCAAAAGCAAGTGTAACCAATAGAAAGGCTTCAAGCTGCACACTTGGAAAGATTTTGCTCCGAGTCCTGCACACCTGTTTCTGATGATTTTGGCCGATACATGTCAAGTGCCAGGAACGACATATGGGACATTGCTCGTAAGACATTCCTTGATCTTCTGGTCATGCACATGCACCATAAGGTGCGTGGCATGCTGCTTCGTTACACGAAATGAGATGGCAGGTGACGGCAAGGGACACCGGAAATCTGGAATCCTCTCCCAAAGCAGATGCGACATGAAGAACAACAAATGCGCAGTGAAGAAATCCAAAAAGAGAAAGTCACAACTTATGCGATGACATTGTGCCATTCTAGATGGCTGACAGCTGCTGACATGTATCCCCAATCCCTGAAGAGAAAAGCGGCAAAACGTATTACAACCCCAGTGCTGTTCGGTGTGAGGTCACGGCTGCCTTGCCACTGCTTTGAGACCTGGGCAGGTACCAAGAAACGATGTCTATGGACAAAATTATTCTTGAACTTGAACCTGCAAATGTAAATGCTTCCAGCATGCTGGAAGTACGTCACTGTAACCGGAGCAGTCATAGATCCGATCCTGCAAATATGCCAGTTTCCGGCATTTCTGCAGTGATGTTTCAGTCATTGCCCGACGGTCCTCGGCTCGTACTTTTGGTGAAGTGCCTTGACTCTGAATCCGGGACAGGGTGGACATTGACACAGCGGAGGGGCGGCTGGGGCCCGGCCTTCAAGGCAATTTCGGCCTCGGCAGGTGTGGCCTTGGACAATGCGCGCGCGACCCAGGCGGCCCAGGCGTGAGCTCCAAAAACGCAGCTGGGTGACCATTTCCACAAACGCACACGCACTGCCGAACTTGGACTTCCCGGTCATGACCTAGGGAGGATCCGTAACTCAGTCACCGCGGCCCAGGAGTCTGTGCTAAGTTCGGAACATGCACATTCACGACCCTACCCCACTCTCCGAAGACTTGGCTCAACCTGGGTCAGGGCTTGGCTCCAGCGACGGCAGCGGTACCTGCACCACCTTGAGCCTTGAGACGAGGACGAGGCCTTTCTCGCGGAATCTCGGAGTGGAGATTGCCAACGAACAGTTTACCTCAGTGAAGCAGAGCTAGCTGCTGTCTGCATCGATGACAAGCCAGCCTCTGTGATCTTGCTCCGTTGCTTGCACCCAAGTATCCCCGCGATCCTAGACACCCAGGCAGATGGCCACACCAGTGGCAATGTATCCTTTCCGCTCGGTCAACATCCGGGGGTCGAGGCATTGTTTCGTTTCCACATCTCCAAGACTTTCAACTCAAACTCTTAGGTACAGCTCTTCACGCCGGCTAAGGCCAGTCATGACGAAAGTCTTAGTCAGTTTGTGACATGCTAACCCGGAACGATCTTGGCATCATCCCTCGCAGTTCAGTTGATGCGCATGGTCGGGAAGCTGCTTCTCACTTCTGTCATCCAACTTAGAACTCGACATCGAGTCTTCTCCGCGACATAAGAGGCCGTGGCAGTTGCTGCCTGACCAAGTACGACCGAACTGCCAGCATCTGACGAAATCTAGCCATTGTAGCATTGCAAGAGACAGCAAAGCTGGCAGTACGTCCCAGTAAGACGGAGGCTGCAGGCAAGCTTGAGGAGAAATTGCTCCCGACCTTTCCAGCTGGTCCAGGGTGTAGTGATTGCGAAACGGAGCAACTCGAGATGCCTTGTCCACGTTAGCAATCACCGCGACCTTTGCACTGGGCGAACTAATGAGAATCGCACGGAAAACGTCCGAAAGAAGTAGCCCAGCTCTGAGCTCGCGACTTGCTCATCTTGTGGTGCAGGCAAGCCTGACCTGGAGGAAAGAACTCCTTCGTCCAACAACTCGTACACGAACCTCCGAGGCCGTGGCTGCACTGGGTCCGGAAGCGCTCCGGGCCGAGCAAGCATGACCTCAAGGGTTTCGGTGCGCCAGCGCGCTACTGTACGGTGTCGCCTAGTTCGGATCAGACATGGGAGCTCGGGGTCTCATGTCTCTAGTGACTGGTGGGCACATGCAGATGCTCAAGAAGCCTGCTGCCGCCCGAAGATTTGTTTGTAGCGTTTGTCAGGCCTGCGTTCGGACCACCTCTTCGGAAGGCTACAGCCTGTCGAATCGCAAGACATCGCTATCGCTTTCTCCGTCTTTCCGTCGTCGTCTTGCGTTCCCCAAAAGCCCTCAAGGCTTCCTGCCACTCCGGAGTGGTTACAAAAGCTGGGCCGCCAGCAGCTAGTGGCTCTGGCGATGAACTGCCTAGCTTGCGGCTTGCAAGCTGCAATCTGAAGTCAGACGACCCTCAACAAAGCGTGCCAAGCCACGTGGACGATACACACCATTCAATGCTTTCACCGCCGTCCCGGCAGCTTCTGCCTGCCCGCAAGCAGCAGCGGGACACAAAGTGCATGCTGTGCCGATGCCACTCAAAAGCATCTACCCACCTTGCTGTACGTGATGAACGCACAAGCCTGAAAAGCAAGGAGAGACTCCAACAGCAGAGCACGGCAAGCGCTCAAAACTCGGCACGGCACCTGCCACTCCACCTTCTGGCCTGGGGACGGACAGCACGCCGAGTTGAAATAATGATATCCACAATTCACAGACTCTGTGTCTTGTCATCCGTGCACACTTTGCCAAGCTGCGGGTGGAAAGCGGCGTCTCCACTGATGCCAAGTTCCCGTTCGGACCTGATGATGAAGTGCACTTTCGTGTGCAGCTCCGCGAGAACTGCGAGAAATATCAACGAGAATTTGCAAAAGCCATGCAAAGGCCCATGCACAGCGTTGGCGTCCCTGGCCACATTATCACCTTACAAGTATCTGCATCCAATCATACAATCGTGTTGCCGGATCTTCGCAGCTCGGAAGACACAGGTAAGCTGCGGACATCAGCGGCTTGCACGACTCCATACTTGCTGAAGATGTATTTCACCTGTCAAAAAGCAAGGTAACGGAAAAATCTTGTGAGAACGATGGACTATCTGCACCTCCTTCTCTTTGATGTCAGAAGGCAAGTTCTTGACCTCACGACATGAAAACTCCTCCAGGAACCTCGAAGTCATGCAGGGTAGTCTGACGGAGCTTGAACTCTAGCAGCCCGCCCCGCATTGCAAGGTCGCGGCGAATATTTTGGTATCTGCCGTCATGGTCACGGAAAATCTAAACTTCCCTGTCGGATTGATTGTGATTGAGTCTATGAGATTCTGAGGTGTGCATGAGATGACAGCACCTAGCCGGACCTAGCTTATCTGTAGAAACACATGAGAGCCTCAGGTCACTACAAGGTTCGATCGGTCTCATTGAACCCAGCTTGCACAGGCTTGAGAATCGCAAGGCAGCAGGGCACAGGCGAGTCTCGGGATCAAAGCACACAGTCCGGATGGACCAACACGATTCAACGCAGTATTCGACTCCTCGGATCGGATGACGTGGAATTTCCAGAGCTTGCTAGCTCTTCGGAGGGGATGCATGAACCTCGGTCACGAGTGCAGGAAACTGTGCCTTGGTCCGGGGAAGGTTCGTTGAGACTCCGGCTCCGTGACAATCTCCCGCGCCAAGCCCTGACAAGCCAACCCACAAGCATCCATCACCCTAACGCTCCCAACACATTCCTTTTCCCAAAGGGGTAACATGTCGGATCCGCGTTTTCCAGACTGTCAGCGATGTCGAAAGCTCGTTCACGCTCCCACTTGTCTTCATCCTCCACCTAGCACACTGGGTCGCAAGCATGTCATCACATGCAGGACGACACGCCTTTCCATCTGGAAGTTTGGATGCTGAAGATGCAGAGCTTCCTCCCACAACGAGCTATTCGATCCACGCTGACAGATGCACGAAACGAGGGCTCTCAAAGCACTGCCAGTAATTCTGCTGCAGAGAGACCCACCCAGGAGGAAATCCAAGACGTCAACGGATTGGCCTGGAGGCCGCAGGACGAGAAATTTAGCCAAGTGCAGGAGCCCAAGCCTCTTGTCCCGTCATGCTGCAAGCGGCTCCTAACCCTTTAAGGGTGTAGTCCTCTGCTCGAGGCATTGAGCCGTGCAGACATGCCAGAGCTCAGGAAGTGCAGGTCGGAACAAGCGCCTCAAAGCTCAGCAAGCGCTCCGCACGCTCTCAGCAAGCTTCAGAGTCTGGAGAGCCCTCCACTCCAACTATCTCGAATTGCTTGTCTTGTCTTTTCTCCGTGCTGGCAGGGATGAGACGCTCTGTAGGCGTAGTTGGTGATCATCTGGCTTCCAGAGCCTTGAAGTCGGCAGTTTTCCCATAGCGCAGCCTGAAATTTCTCGGACTCGACAGGAACAAAACCAGGCGAGTCTATCCCGCTGAAAGAAATCAATGAGCGACTTTGATTCAAGCGGCAACTGCGCAATTTCGCCCTCCTCTATGATCAGAGCTTGCTCGTGCACCTGACATGCTGTTTACGTTCGGTCGGCAGCGAGCACACCAGAATCTGCACCTTTCGCACAAGCTGTACTTCGAACAAAATGAAGACCTCAACAGTCAGACGGGGTAAGCTCAAGAAGGCCTCAAGCTGCAAACGAACAGCCAAAGGCTGGGTTGCAGGCGATTGCCCAAAATGCATAGGTAGCATTGATGAAGCTGCAAACAAAGATGCGGCCTGCAAGCTGGGCTGCTCCCCACTTGTCGCACGTTGCCAACTCGCCGTTCGCAACTGAATCCCACCTGCTTGCAGGACGTACGGATCTGCCAAGGCCTTCCGGGCTTTATCCGTGGGCTTCAACTCTAGGTGCCGTGGTCACCAAGCCCATGACGGAGCACATGTTGCTGCCCATCGGCAGCCTTTGTGCAAGCCGTAGCATTTGCGGAATTTGTTGGCTTCTTTGCTGCATGTCGATCCCTGAATGCACCAAAGCCGCATGAGAGCGATGAATGCGTCAAAGATCACGCATCCGACCTGGCCAACGACACGCAACGAAGCTTCCTTTCTTGGCACTTTGTCACGAACCTACATGGTCCCATCTTACTGCCAGCGACTCCGCAACGATTGAGGCGTGAGCGAGATAATATGTGAAGAATCTAACCTGGTTTCAAGCGGGCGTCCGTGCAATTCCACAGCTATACAGGACAAGAAGGTAAGATGTCCACATAAAAGCCGACATGTCTGTGCATGCCAACGTTGGCCATGATGAGTGTGGGAACCTCACCGAAACCAGGAGCTGAATCCCACTTGCAGCGTCAAGATGAAACCGATGAGGCCACAACACCAGCCAAGGCCAAGCATGTTGCAAGCACCTTGCCACACATTTGAGCATGTAGATTGTTCGCTTGCTGCCGGCTCCACGCCTGCAAATGAGCACCCAGAGGCGTCCCGGCCACAATCCTCGCTCGGCAACTTCACAGCTCGTGGTGACCACACAACTGTCGTGTCAGAATGCTGTGCTGAGGCTTGGTCAAATCTTGGTTGGCATCTACCGTGCACAGGCATCCCACAGCACGAAGCAGCCTGAAGCACGTCTGAGGGCTGGGACAGATCATGTTCGTCAACTGTATGCCCAGAACATGGACTCTTACCCCACTCGAGAAGCTAGGATCCCAGCGTCAAGATGCTGGCCAAATACCTCCAAAGATCTCCGAGAACCCAACAACTTTCTGTCACCGGTTGGTCGATTACAATCGCCACTGCACAAAATTTGTTGACATCCGCCGAGCTGCAAACAAGCATCAGCATGCAGACCTCACAACACCGGCAGATGAGCTTCATGTCTCGATCACGCAGACTGACTTTGAGGCGGCGACAGTCCAACATGACGTCTCGACAAAGGCTACGTTTGGCGGACTGGGCAGCTCATTGTTGCCAGAGCCACGCTTTGAGGCACAACGTTGCCAAAAACACAATACGACAACATTGCCTTCTCACACAACCTGTTGCAAGTCTTCCAACCCCATCGGTCAGTCATTAACAGCGACAGATGTCATGAGCCTGCAACAAAACATCATCATTGGAACATATTGTGAAGTATGATGGACGGCTGACACTCCGAGTCTCCGAGCACAGGATTTGTCTCACACGGACCTTTGTACAGCTTGTCCATGGATTTGTTCCCTCGGAATTCCCTGGCTGTTGAAAGTCTGTATGTTTTACGGTGCGGAAGTGCCAGTTTCTGCCGATGTGTCCAAACACATGTAAATGCACATGAATGCAATGTGCTCTCTTCAAAGGATCTTCCGGCATGCCGAGCACAGTCTGCTCGCATCGCACCGTATCTTTTCGGCCAGCAGGTTTGAAGTGGGTTCTGTGGCGGTTGCAGCATGAAACCTGGGATTCATCGCGGACGAACTTGTTATTTTCCCTTTGTGCAGCACCGGCATTGACCATTCACAATCGAAATTTGTGAAACAACTAATCCAATTGTTTCCGAACATTTTGAGAGAAGACATCATTAGTCGAATATCCACACTGCAAGTCAAAGACACTCCAGGAGAAACTCAGTGCCACGTTGGCGCGGACCCAAAAACAGTCAAGGTGCTCTCTCTTACGTGACAGCCTCCGACTCCCGCCACAACCCTGTTGAGCGA